TGATTTCGTTTGATTCATCGCAAATAATACCGATTGGTTCAGTGCTTAGAAGAAGTTCGAAAGTAGCTATCATACAATTTTTTTCCAGCTGAAGTATTACAGTTCGGAACAAACTTTGAAAATGTTCAACGCAACACCCGTTAGCCCTCCGTTATAATTTTCGACGTCGAGTGCTTTGATTGTGGTTTGGCACGAAATTGTCCTCAAGTGTGCGGATCCATTCGTCCATCTCTCCAACGCGCTCTCCAAACGAAAGTCCACTCCTTGAGCTTGAACTTCAGCTTGACCTTCCAACGCTAACGGCAGCAAAATTCGCAATTCACCTGATAAATCACCCAAGAATCTGAAAAAATAGGGCACTTCCTTCACCTCTTTCTCTTGTTTTTTGATCACCATCAGATTTGATACGATAAAACATATTTCATCGAATGTGATTTATTGATGAGACATGTGATATATTGAGTTTCGAAGTGAAGAATCTCTCAACGATAAAAAACTTTTGAGAATCCTTTTTTTTGCTGCAACGCTCATGCCTGATTGATTGCATGTGACAAACATTTGGAATAGCATAAAACAGTGGTTGTTCTCACGCCTTCGCACTTCGCACTCTCGCCTTTGGCCATATAACATACCGTCATTCTCTCCGTCCAATAATCATGTAACTACAGTTCCTCCTCCTTTGACAATCTATCAAATGTTGGTGACACATCAGAAGAAAATCGAGGAATCAATCCGAAAATTTAGAAATTCGCCGATGNAACCATCAATACTGCACGTTGATTTTGTTGCGAAAATTCAAAACTGATATCATCCAAGTGATTACCCAATGTTGAAATTTTGCATTCTCCATACGAGTCTATTCGGTTGGTTCGTTGAGATTGTATGAAGAGAGGCGCGTTTGAAACGTGACACACGAATTCGACTCACTACGATCAAACCTTGATCGTTTGCTAGACGATGTACAACATTGGGGATACGGATCCGAGGTAATTGCTGAGCAATAATTTGCGAAGCAATCTGATTGAGGTATTGAATTGCGGATGGCAAAAATCGAATTCTGAAGGCACAATTTGACTCGGACACTGTTGATGGTGTTGTTGAGGAGGATAGTGATGATGAGGATGAATCATTGCCGGCGGTTTGTGGGTGAGACGAAAATGATTGATCGATATCGTTCGGATGATTGAGTAATGATAACGGTTGATGGGTTGGAAGGATTTGAGAGGATAAACCTCGAATGGAAAGTGAGAAAATGAAGAGCAGATGAATGAATATCATCGGACAAATGTTTTCTTATTGTTATTCTTGCTCATCTATAAGACAGACGCTCTTTGGTAGACGTACGTACACATACCTATATATAGGTGCCTTTATACCGATTATTCATTGATTTCGTTAATTGTTATTGTTATTGTCCTTGAAGGAGAAGACGAAAGGAGGAGGACAACGTAAAAACGTGTTTTTGTTCTGCATTATTCATCTGGTTGGTGGTTATATCATCGTTGCGCACATTCGTAGACACACCCGAGCGACCATAACGCGAACCTGCACCAACATTCCATTATCTGTCATTATTATTCTTCTTCATAATATTGCGTTC